TGCGTTAGAACTGCCCGTTTGTATCTGTGCCATCCTTTCCAACACAAAGCGTGGGATTCATCTCCTGAAACTGCAGCTGCGCAGTCTCTGCAGGCATCTAAAGACCCAGGACAGAGGGGAAGAGAGGTACCTCCACCCACGAGTTATTTTCTTGTAAGATGAAATGAGAAATCCTTTCTACAGACAAGGTGAATTAAGCTAGAGAAAGAAAGATGGGCGTGGGGCAAGGGGTGTTCAGAAAAGTTATGTTTTTAATCTAGGGAAGCTGGCTTACCCAAGCAACCTTTAAGACCACGATTTGAATTGTCCTTCCTACAGAAAAGCAAGAGCCTCTCTGACCTTTGGATCATAAATATCATACAGGAAAATAAACGCCCCAAACTAAACAGAGGCTTTTGGGAACACCTCTGTCGCACACACAGAAAACTTAAAACATTTACCACAAACAAAGTTTGTTTGCTAAGTCAGCCTCAAAACTCTTTCAAGCGTAAAGCAACTGAATTTGCCACAGCTTGTATTTTTGGAATACGAGATCTAAAGAATCTCGTAGAATTTCAAATTTCATTCTGAATGGACACTTCTGAAATGGTGCTCTCCATTTTTTTTTTTTCCCCATGGGGTTCTGTCTAAAGTAGAATTCAAGTACAACAATGCTCTGTCAGACAGTCTCCTGATTGATGTGATACCAGGTTTACCGGTAAAGCAGGCAGGGATACACGCTATGGACAGCATGGTTCCACAACATTCCACCTATCCCACGATATTTTAAACAGGTAGAAGTATTTCCAAATGAAAACAATTCACCTCTGAACTTATAAACTGCCTAAGAAAACAGACAAGTCTTACAGAGATGAAAAATTCTGACAGATAAAAAAATTGTTGTTACCAGTTCATGCTCTAAGAAAAAAACCAAACCCACAACTACAGGTTTGAAGTGGGAGCCAGTTATCAAAGCACATCAGACCGAACCTGAATGTCTGCTTTTGCCCTTTAGATTATCACAGTTTAAAAAACCCAACAAACCAAACCCACAAAACTGCTGGACAACAGTGCACTGCTTCCCTACCTTCCCTGCAGAGGCAGGGCAAACACAGCAATCCAAGACGTTGCCTTTTCTGCACGCTGCACAAATTACCTTTATTTCAAAGATCACAAATTCCTTACAAAACTAATGTTGTTTCTACCACCCACAGGTGACGGAGATATTTACCTATTTTAGAGATTAAGAACTTGAAATACAAAACGATTTCCCTGAAAATTACACAGGAAGCCTCAACAAAGCACAGCTGGAGGCTAATGCCACTTGATCTTCTCAAGGATGCCAAGAGCATCCTTCTCCCTGTTCACGTTCAGGGTAGGCACAAATCCATTCCCTCTGACCAGTTTGTGTGTGTGTGTTTGTTTTTCTCTCCCATCTGCTGGCATTCGGAGTGCCTAACTGCCTTACAACTGGTGACAAATCTGCACGTTTGCAGCAGAGAATGGAAAAGCAACAGGCTCTTGAAGCGCTTGAGTGTAAAGGCCAGAAAGTCTCTTATCTGAGTTTGTTTCAAAATGCAAATCTATAACCTTGACAAGCTAAGTGGTCACAACCCTAAGCCATTCAAAATTGTTAGGCAAGCTATTTTATTTCCTTTCAGAAGCATTCTAGAGATGTTTAGGAGAGAAAATGTCTGTGTCCTAGCACCAAACACAATTAAAGCCCACATCAAATCCCCCAAAATTTCACTTCCGTGTTTTAAGCATTCAGCTGTGGTGAGCAGTAAAGACATTAAATTTTTCTACATAAACCAGGCACAGCGTAAACCTGTCAAAGCAACTATCGCTTTCAAACATATTTCGGTCCACTGACTGACATCTAGTAATTTTTTTTTAGGAGTGACAATTACATGGATGGTTTTCTTAACAGGAAATCAGATAAAACTATGAGCTAACGTTAAGATCTATCAACTGTTCCCTGATCAAAATACAAACCTATTTGTCCAAGTAAAAATAATCCATATAAAAGCCAACATTTCAAAAATCAAAGTATTTATAAAACTCCATTAAATCACATCCAGGGAAGATCTGCAACTCAACAGCTACATTATCTTTAACCTACAACAACCAACAGAAGACATTTCAAACAATTTGCAAAATTCACATATATCAGAAAGGCTCAATTTCACATTAACCAGTAAAACCCATCTCCAGCAAGAACTTTAATATGTCTGAAGGCGAAAATTTACGGCACTGTAATTTATTTCATTTAACATTTTGAGAAGTGATTACTGATTAAAGCGACCAAGCTAAGATACATGAAGGGGACCGATTTTCAAATTATGGGTGTTTTATATTTACTGAAAACCATTTCACAGGGTCTTAAGTGTAGTTCTCAAAGAGTAAGATGTAAAAATTAGTCTCCTTGCAATTTTGTCCTTTTAAAGATGCTGAAGTGCATAAAAATTTGTATTAGAGGAACTTAAAATACTTACAGGAAGAAAAGAGGACAGAACTTAAACACAGATGGCCACAAAAACTGAAGAAATGTTTGTTCTTCCTTAATACTTTTAAAAAGCTTTGTTCAAATGAGCTACCAACAGCCATTAAAGCAAACTTATGCCCTGTTTGTCTGCAGAGGGAATCAGAAATGTAGTACTCTAGGTTTTTTTCCTGGGCCTAGCAATGTTTGTAAGCCCATCCTTAGATCATTTCTTGTTGGAAAATGTTTTAAAAAATCAGAGTCAAGTATCAAAGTCCTGAAAGAGATTATTCTGGAGAGCTGAATATAGTTAAAGTTGAGACTTGGTGGTTAGAAGTCACACACCTGATCCAACATGGATGTCTGTCTGCATGACACATTCCAGAGTACACGCTTTTGTATTTTGCAAGAAGACAAGTTATGAAATGCAAAGGAGTAAATGGAGAAAGATTTAACTTTCTGGGATGCTCAGGACAGTTCCAGTACTAGAACTACAGCACTTACCTGGTGTATGGTTCCATCGATTTCAACAGGAACGATGAAATCAGCATTGCTAATTGGCTAGAAAAAATGAGAAGGAAATAAGCTAACGTTACAAATAAGATCATTAGAGGGAAAATTTCCGAGGTGTAAAAAGAGCACTTACAACTCAGGAGCAGGTTAATAAGAATTATTGACTTTACAGATCCACTCTGTGTGTGTGCCCACTACACAAGTCAGGAGCCAGGTTGGACAGGGCTTTGAGCAACCTGGGCTAGTGGGAGAGAGGTGTCCCTGCCCAGAGCAGGGGGGCTGGAATGAGATGGTCTTCAAGGTCCTTTCCAACCTTAACCACTCTACAGTTCTATAAGCCTCACATAGTCGTGTTTGCCAGATGCTGCACTTCGCCCTTCCCTCCTATTTCTAAGCTTCACACAGTGCAATATGTTTTACTGCTTGAATAACCCCACTACCACTAAGTGTGTTTACCAGCAGAAGTATCTATTTGGATAACTCCTTCATCAGGTCTGTGTGGATGACAACGAAATTCAGCGGTGTGCTTCACCTGTTCTTCTCTGGGTCATGGATGAGTAACTAATTAAAAATAAAGACGGTGGGAATGGTTACATCTGAACCGAGAGCTGCAACCAGGTGTAAGTTGTATAGTTAAATGATCCTCAAGATGTTGTACCTCAAGAACATCCTCTACCGATCAAATTAATCATGCAAAACTGCCTTTTAATTCATAAGGGGAGAGCAGGTACACTCTGCCCAAGTTCTTGCATCCATTTTTCTAGCCTGTTGAATACAACTCACTTCTTAAGACTTACTGTGAAAAACTTTTGGCCAAGTACAATGATTTTGGAAAGCAGAAAAGTGTCCTTGTAGCCAGTTTAGGAGTGCACCGCCTAATCTTGGCTAGACGGCAGCGGTAGCTGGAGAGGGCACTGCTAACAATGCTTACTAGCTCAAACGGACAACAAACTTGGCAGAAGCCTTTGAGACGGCTCACGAGTTACATCCACAATAAAAAAAAAAAAGTCATGTGAACATGACTGACTGAAGTTTGTAACTCATGCCATGATCCGCAGCTTGGAAATGGCTGCGACGCAGAGCTGCCAAATATAGTTTTAACACGACTCATTAACAGACAATATGCTTCATGGATAAGAGCCTAAAGCGAAGGCTGAGAGTAGTCTGGCTGGTAACTGGTACGGCATTCCGAAAGCTGGAAAACATCTTCACTCAGCTCTATCAGACTTAGACAGACCTTCCCACCTGGTTTTCTGGATCAGCCAATAGACTGATCTCAAGTGCGACCAAGGAGGTGCCCCTGAAGTATTTGTGAGACTAGAAACAGCCTTCAAACCCATTTGGGGGAGGCAAAAGGCTGCCAAGAAAGCAGAAGAGTAGCTGAGGTAAAGAGTCTGAGAAGCAGATTGCACACTGAGGAGGCCTGAAAAACTGGAGGGGAAAAAAAAAAAAAGAATCCTGCAGTGTTAACTTGATAGCATCACTAATCCCATTCCCTGGAAAAAAAGATATTCTAATTCCCACTGTCAAACAACCTTCCTGCAAGGAGAGTAAAATGACTGTAAGAATTTTTCAGGAGGGCAACACCCTCTCTCGGAAGGGAAGTAATAAGGGGGATGGTTTGATCCAACGTCTGCAAGTGCTGTGTCAGAAGGAAAAGCAGAAGCTACACTTGCATCTACTCCTCCTGACCAACCAGTCCTGGCAACCAAACCTCCAGCTGATGACCACCGTGCTAGTTACCATCTAAAGAATTCCTCAAATGTCCACAGATACAATCTTTGTTTCTTTTTAGCTGACATCCAGTGAGTTTCAAGATCTATCCCGCTTTCCGCTTCTGAAAAAGACAGAGGGAGGCTCCTGCCTGTTACCTGCATGAAGCCCCTCAGACAGAGAAAATACTCCACAGCATCTCCAGCAGCCACTGAACAGGAACACAAAAATGTTCTGAAGCTTTACCTTAAAGGAAACCCAAAGGAACTGTCAAGAAGACTCAGCCACCAGTTTTCAGGTGGGTGCCAGCTCCGTGCGTGCGTACGTTGAAGAGACTTGCCTGCGCTTGAAGAGTTTATACAGGCATGACTCCCTTCAGCGAGGTGAATGGTGTGTAGCGGCAGGAAAAGCTCACCGCATGTTGCTACAATTTGGAAGCCCACCGATAAAAATGCAGCTACTACTAAACTTTAAGACCAACCAGATGCAAGAAAATCACCTTCTGCTCGGATAACTTAATTTTTGCTAACAAGTAGAACTCACCCGTAAACTCTGTAACACTCATTATCATTCCTGAGTATATATTGGCTTCCCCAACTTATACTTGAGGCACTGCGCAGCTTTCTGGTTGGCACAAGTGACAAGGGAGAGAGCACGGACTCGGGTTCTGTGCTTTGTCGTCATGGGAAGATGGGAGAGAAGTCTGCAACGATTTGCTGAATGAAGGTGGCCGGGGTTGCACATGGGAAGCACGTACATGCCTCGAGTGGGAACCGCAGAGACAGAGCGTGAAAGAAAATGTATTTCCATCGAAAAGCCTTACTTCAGTCAGAACTGCTTCTATTTAATAAAAAGCTTCAGTTTTGAATGTTCTAAAAGTGTTTCACAGCCAGTTTTAAATACGACTGCATTCCAGGCTTGCATGTGGTTTAATTCACTTTATACGAAACCATGTTTACATGTCCCTGATTTAATGTAATTTATGATTTTTGCTTCTATTATTGTTTTATGATGGGAATGATAACTATAATGTCTATCTATTCCTTTTTTACTCTTGCCAAAGCACCCCAAACTTTATTCCTTTAATATGCACTTAACATGAAAGCCTAGTACCTCCTTAAAGCTGCCCAAATATGCAGGGGCATAAAAAGACAAGAATTACCCTCCTTCAGATGTTGCTGCTTTCATAAAAGAGCACTTTAAAATACTCCACCTCTCTGGTTGTATAAAAAAAAAATCAAAAAAAACCCTGCATTTGAAATACGAAGCCTATTTCGCAACAGAATTACGAATTCCAAAATGTCATGTGTTTTAAATAAAGCCTTTTGTAATAAACCCCACAAAATTACGTATGCTTTTACGTGTGGAACTGCCTGGGTAAAGCAGATATGTTTTAGTGAAAAAAGAATCTGTAAAAGCAACTTGACTATTCGGGCTGAGCAGTGTGTGTACAGGTGTTACGCTCTTGCTCTTCTGGAAATTTGGCGTGATTTTTGATGTCCGCAAGGGCCTCACTTCAGCTGAAGTATTTCCCTTTAAGAAAGACAATCCAAACAGCACCCCTGGACAGTGTCAGCTGCTACTAAAGTCATTTTCCTCCAACGCTTGGCTTCTTTCACAACAGGGTAACGCCGTCACAGCGTCAGACTCTAACAGGGCACAAACTCCAACATTTGCCCAACTTCACGCCAAAAAGGGCTAGTTTTCCTTTCCTAACACAAAACATTATTCAGTTCAACACTAAGCAGAATAATCTTTTGATTATTTGACATAATTTTCATCTATTTAGTATCATTTAAATAGCCACTAAATGTAATTTGAGTAAATGGGATGATTAAAATGAGCCCGCTAAGAAAATACTCTGCAATAAAGGCAAACCTCAATCCTACAAGAAAGGATTTACAGTACGTCAACCATTAAACATGCATTTCTCTAAAATGGTAAAAAAAAACCCCAAACAATAACCATCTAAATTGAATCTCATTTTGTTTCAAAAATCAGAAGCATCACAGTACAAAGTTACCCACAGCCTTCAGAAAGCAAACACATTTTTACGTTTCAGATCACCCTAAGCTTAACACTTCGTTATTTTTATGTAAATTTAGACTTCTAAATTCAGCTTGCCTTTCCTATTTTTGACTCTTGTTTAATTAGGAAGGCATGCCCCCTCCCTTTCCCATCCGGCTGTGTTTCGAATCTTCCCGAAAAATTCTCAAGCGCAAGTTCAGGCTGGGTATAAAAGACAAGGATCTGGCGCTGAGGTTGAGAGGTTCCTGTACGCCACCACAAATTGACATATAGACCATTGGGCCCCAAAAAAGACAGAGAAGAATCTTAGTTTCAGTTTGAGGCACAAGAATATTTGTTCTAGTGTCTCCATATAAGGTCTCCTTCAAGTCAACAAAGGCAGGCTGTTGCCAAATTCTAACCACAACGTGAATTATGGTTTGCATATTTAAATGCTGGCAACTGAATATTGCAGGATTAAAATGTTGAGTTTGTGCTAGCAGTGAAAAAAGGGAGTGCAACCAAACCAGAAGACTCTAAAGCTGCTGATAACTCCAGCTTGTTACTACTAAGGTGAACATATTATTGATTCGTATAAATTCTCCAGTCAAAGTATAAAATTAACTGATGCTTTATCACATCTGACATTTGCTAATTAGAAATGCTACCAGTACTCTGAATCATAGAATCATAGAAAGAATCATAGAATGGCCTAGGCTGGAAGGGACCTTAGAGATCATCTAGTCCAACCTCCCTGTCATGGGCAGGGACGCCACCTCTCGACTAGACCTCTGAGCCAATTTAGGTTATTTGGATTTCTGAATTCTCCTGTTCTAACTTCAGCCCTAACTTAAACAACAGAAAAAGCCCACCACTTCCAGCACACGCTGGAATCTAAAGGACAATAAGAGTTGCTTCTACAAGATGACTGATTCATCAGCAACAACTAAATGCTATTTGCTTTCCTGTTGTGAAAGTTAAATACTTAAAAACACTTACTGCCATCGGGACAGCAGCCTTACACAGAAAGCAGCCTTCAGCAAAAGAAGACGACATCATTGGTGCCTGAAATCTACTGGTTTGAGCAACATCCACCTAACGTAAGGCTGTGCTGAGATCCTACTCTCCTAGACTAACTACGGCATCACTTAAACCTCAAAACTGAAACCTTGTTTTCAGAGCCACAAGTTTTGTACCTGTTGGAACTCAGGTCTTTGTTGGAGTAGTTCCCATTTAAAGCCATAAAGTCAGTAACTATTCCAAGCCTTGCTGCATTCAGCGTGACTTTCTCAGAATCAAAAATAATAAAGTGCAATGTCTGTGTTACTCCCCTTACAGCTAAATTAGGATGAATAATCATAGGAGCAACAATGAGACCAACCAGGCATCCTGGGAGAGCCTGTAAGACTAGTTCATGTGTTAAGAGGCTTAACAGTTCCTACAACATTCACTGACACATTAAAGTTGCAAGAGATCGCTTTTGAATTTACTTACCTTAAATGAACTGTGCACTAAAGTTTCATCTAAATCAATGACCACACACTTCTTCCCATAGTCTGATGCTGTCAGTTCTGGCAGGAGGTATTTAGCTGGTGGCTAAAAACAAGAAGAGAAGAGGAAGACAACAACAAAAAAAGAAAGTAAAACCTCTTTTGAAGGGGCACTCTTCTACCAACTTGGCTATTCTAGTAATTACTGGGAATGGAAATATATGTCTTGACATTAAATGTTTTTCTGGGCTCATTGCAAGTACATGTATGGAAATTGATGGTTCATGCAATACCCATATAGACTTTTTTTTCTTTTCTTTTTTTTTTTTAAATGACAGACTTGCTTAGAACGCTCTCCAAAGCATTGGAAATGAAAATGGTAAAACACCACCACTAGCTAAGAAACAAAGGAGAAAAATAGGACATTTGATACACTGATATCTTTTTCCAGTGGCCCTCTCTTCCTAACGCCTTGGCTTTGGTTGCTGTTGTTACCCTACGGAAAAAGTCAATGTCATTTCCAGCCATCTCACACCGCTGGACATTTACACAACGAGTCATCGAAGATGTGAAAGTGGAGAAATCCATCCTGAAGGAAGACGGCATTACTAATCTGATCTTCCAGGACATGTCTCCACTCTCATTTTTACCACTCGTGGGGGTGCTGACCAGGAGCTTTCAGGTGGATTTCGTCCCCCACCAAGGTAGTAGAACTGCAGTAAAGAACCTAAACCAGGTTCTTCTGCAGTATGCTGCCCTTACTAAAAAATGGTACCAACGACGTGAGTTTTTCTGAAGGCAACGCTGACAGTCGCATAGGCTTCCCATTGCTCGTTCCGCACTGGGACACCCAATTTGCAATCCAGTTACTCTACTTCAGACTTCGATACTGGATATTTCCCAAAAATAACAGAAATGGAAGAGAACGCTTCCATACAGAGCTGAAACATTGTTGCCACTCACTCAAAAATGGAGTTTCTTTTTTGATGAAGGAAAACAACTGGGTTTATATTAAAGTGTCAACAAGGTAAAAGCTCAAGATCAAGAGGAAATTAATTAAGAACTGGATACAAACTCTAACTCCATTCTTCCGTTATCTATTTATCTGCTCAGATCACGTTGCTCTGGTTAGGACGCATCTATCATGTTTTTTCTTTTTCTCTTTTCAACAGCCTTGCATAGAGGTGCTTGCGGAGATCTGAGGCCACCCCTTTGCAGCCCGCGGGTGACATGGAGGAGTCGGACGCTCCCTGGACCCACTGATGGCTTTCAGATGTCGTCTTAAGCTGACAGATACCGGCCAACGATGCCTAGTGAGCTCCTGTTTGAATACACTAACTAACAAATGGGATTCTGGACTTAAATAGAAGCATCTTTTAGCTAATGTAGAAGTTATCGGTGTTTTTTTAAGAGTGCTTGCTGAAATGGATATAGATCCTTACAATTAGCACCAACAACAATTTCACCAGCTACCAGGATGGAAGCTGCCTGCCTTACAAGCCCCTTGTCTCAATGCATTTTCCTCTCGGCACACACCTAACAATGACCTTTACGAAAAAAAAACCTTCTGCTTAATGCCTGTCGAGTATTTATCCTGTCCCAGTAACCTAACCAGGACGTCCCTTCTAGGATATAGACGGTCCCATGCACACGTTACTTCAACATCTGCTTGAGCTCTGCCTCTGCTTGTTTGCAACTAGGGCCAGATCTAAAGAATTTCATTTTCTTACTCCTATTCAAAAATTTAAAAGGTAGTTAGGCACACCACCTCAATTTTTCATAGTAAGAAGAATCCAGACTTGCAATCTATGACGACTAAAAGCTTACTGGAAAAAAAATCAAATCCATTTAAAGACAATAATTTTCAGAACCCGTGTTCTGATACTGATTTCTTGTCTTAAAGAAGAGGAAAAAGGTAGGAATGTCTCAAGAAAGCTTAAGCATACTTTTTTTTCAAAAAAAATTCAATAGCTCAGTTCATTTTTGTACTGTTACGATTTAGTTTGAATTTTTTACTAAGTTAATCTGCACCAGCAGTTCAAAGCCAGCAATTTCTTCTGCTATGTGAATTCTTTTTCAAGCTGAAAACATCAATCTATATGGAAAACATACAGATATAAATATTCTTTCATATATAAATATGCACAGGAAAAACAGGAGCACTGTTTTACCAGAAATATCCTTATTTTTTACCTAGAAACTACTATGCCTGTCATCAAGCAAAGGATGGACACGCACCAAGGACTACAAAGTTTAAGAACCTTCAACTCTGAGTACACAAATTCCTTGTCTGCACGGCGAGAGTCCTCAACAGCAGTGGCTGGCAGAGGAATGAGCTCACCTGCAGCATCTACGCCGAGGTGCTGCTTCCTGCTCGTGTTTCTCTGCCTTTTCAGCAGGGCCTCAGGAGGTAACGGGCACTTACTGACCCGACTTCAGCTAACGAGACCGTATCTTCCAGGTTTTTTCCTGGGGAATGTCTCCCACCAGGAAAAATCAACCTTCCTACAAGCTTTGGCTTCTTGAATTCAATCTGACCATTTTCAAAGACACGTGGTCGCACATGTGAAGATCAGAAGAAATAAATTTTCCATTTCAAAACCCATATCTTGTGTTGCCCTCAACTTTGAAAACACATTTGCCACCGATAAGGAAACTCTCCTAAAGCTGAAGGCAGCATAAAATGTGAGACTGCTCAACATCTGGCGTAAGGCTTTGGAGCAAGAAGGACATTTTTGAGGCTTTAGGAACTTAAAGGATTTGTACATAGGGTTTCAGTCCATTTGTTTTGCTGTTCAAGCTTTCTGATCTAAAGCAATCTCCACATGCCAAGAGGAGTAAAACTTTTAGCAGAAACAAGCATTACCCAATATCGTATTTTAATTTCCTCACTAATGGAGACATATCCAAGAGGACTTCTAATTACCACATTTCCATCATAGTTAATAGCGAATATTTACAGATCTTTGATAATTTCTTCTTTTAACCATAGCAGCTGTAAAAATATCTATGATGATTAAGAGTCTTTAATTGCGGCTAACAGCAACTCAAATTTACTGTGTCAGGCTCTCCAAAGGACTGCAGGCTTCCAGAGAACTTGGCAGAAAAAATCCAACATGTGGTATCTCAGTACTGTAAGTCCTAGCTTGGTCTTCAGTTTCAACACGACATAAATTGTAAACAAGTTAAAGCTTTTAAACTAGTCACTGTTTGGGATTTATGCATTCCAGCCAGGTCTCATGGCTGATCAGCTTAACAGACCTTGTAGTGAAACGACTGCTGCACTGCTTCAGTCCCGTGGAAATAGTATATTCCCTAAGAAAAAAAAAAAAAAAAAAGGGGGTGGTGGTGGTGGCAAGAAAACAGGACTTTTGGTTGAAGCATAAACAGCTGGTCAACACAAACCTTTCAGAAATTTACTGTATAAAACAACCATAACCTTTCTTTCCTGCAGGCCCATATTTCCCACAGAGACAAGTATGAGAATTAACAAGCCCTTTCTTTGTGCCCTGGAAATGTTGTGTAGCCTGGGCGCAGCACATTAATTTGTTCTTCGTGTTCCCTCCAATTCCTGCTTTTGCTTGCACTCTACAAAGCTAACAGCTTCTCCCAGAAGTTACGTGTAAGAAATACTCTCATAGGAGATAAAATGATTCCCACTTAAAACACAGCTGCCAGAAGATGGTAGCTCCTGCTAGGAAACAGGCAGCTCACAAATTTTGTTCTAGGAAAAACTGCAACAGAGAAATTGTCTACAAGTAGACGGGGAGAAGTGAAAAAACAATAGCGTAGGGATAACATTTAACTTGTGCAGGGATTCTGAGGACTGACCGCAGTACCGCTGCTCAATACAGGGACTTTAAACTGAACAAAAGAAACGGACACCAACTCGTTTATGAAGGTGCAGGAGTAGGGCTTTGTGTTTCCATCTACCTTTTGGCTCAAAAGCACGAAAATAGGTGCTGAAGTTGCTAGGGGTCTATTTTGATTTCTCTACCGTACTCCTTTCCAAACAAAACTGAGAGAAATACCCGAAAGCATAAGTGTCCTGAGCTACACTTCATATATTTTTAAGTTGGCTCTATCACAATATGTCAGCTGGTACTGGTTTTTTTTCTAATTTTGTGTGTGTGTGTGTGTTGCAGTTCTAGAAATAAATAATTTTGCAGCATTAGGAAGAAAATCAATTACGCTGCTGTTTAATCTGTGCCTTAACCTGAAAACAGTTTCAGAGTACAAGATACAAACAGGATAAAGTTCATCTTTAAAATAACCCAAGTCACACTGTTTCTATTTTCTGAAGAACCTAACTTGAAGCTGCAATGTTTCTTGCTTAGCAGTTATCTCTATCAATAACCAAGTGAAAATTCATAGTAAGACAAGTCTTTCAATTAAGCGCAATTAACACAGGAAAAATCTGATGGAGCAGACGATAAACTCGGATGGTTTGCACACACGCACGTTAAGCGATGAAGTTTTCAAACAGGTGACCTCAGCAGACTGTCACATTTTATACGCGCGTGAGAAAGCTCCAGAAAACCTCCTATTTTGACTAGAGGCTTTGACTTGCAAGTTTAACAAGTCGGGAGCAGGCAGTGCTCTTCTCAAAGTCGCTACGGGATTCTCTAAACGCTTGAAGTGATTTCATTTGCACTGAGCCCTACAAAAAGTCAATGTCCAAGTCAGTTGTGACCAAGCTCACCCTGTGCCTCTTTGGAAGATTCTTCTCCTGGTGTACGACACGCACAGTTCAAACATCCTGTTTCTCAGCTGTGACCCTGTGTAGCGGAGTGTCAAGAATTTCTGCCTCAAAGGGTCTTAAACACACAGTTAAGATTCATCTCGGAGTGAACCCCTGGGCTCCAGCACTCAGGAAAAACAGCCCTTGTAAAACTCGAAGAGGACTGCTTCGATTTTAGGCTTTTTCCTCACGTCATGTTGCAACTTCGTTCCTAGCACCTTCTCCACAGGCTTCTGTCTTTATATTTAGACTATTCTATACTAACGCTCGCTGGCTGCTGGTGGAGAGCCAGAGGCACTCCGATACCCGGGCTCTAAATGTCACAGGGCTGCCCGTGGCGAGGGTTGCTTGACAACGCTCCCATGTCCTGCTGGAAGAAGGCATCAGGTGGCACCGCAGAAAAGGAACAACGAGTGGGTTTAAAGTCACCTGCTCCCTGAGAACTCTGTGTCATGACTGCAAAGGTAAGCTCATTTAACTGCCTGATTAAAGCGCTCGGAATATAAGTCAGCAAAAATATAGTTGTGCTATAAAAATAAAACAAAAGAAGAAAAAAGAAAACTAAAGAGAGACCCCTCTTCTTGAACTGCTCCTTGTCCTACCACTACTCAAATCTAACAAAGCACTGCTTTCACATCACAGTGCTCTAGGAAAGCATCTCATTTTATGTTTGCACCTGACAGGGCTGTACTCATTTGTCATTTCAAAATTTTGTTCTCTTTCCCCAATACCTACGCTCTTTTTTAGGCAGAATTTTATTCCAGGTCAGAGCACAGCCAGAACGTGTTTTACATTCAAATAACTACTAGTAGTCCAGCTACAGGGACCAAAACGTATCTGGCAGGTTTGTAAAAGAAAAGAAGGAGAAAAGAAGGAGAAAAGAAGGAGAAAAGAAGGAGAAAAGAAGGAGAAAAGAAGGAGAAAAGAAGGAGAAAAGAAGGAGAAAAGAAGGAGAAAAGAAGGAGAAAAGAAGGAGAAAAGAAGGAGAAAAGAAGGAGAAAAGAAGGAGAAAAGAAGGAGAAAAGAAGGAGAAAAGAAGGAGAAAAGAAGGAGAAAAGAAGGAGAAAAGAAGGAGAAAAGAAGGAGAAAAGAAGGAGAAAAGAAGGAGAAAAGAAGGAGAAAAGAAGGAGAAAAGAAGGAGAAAAGAAGGAGAAAAGAAGGAGAAAAGAAGGAGAAAAGAAGGAGAAAAGAAGGAGAAAAGAAGGAGAAAAGAAGGAGAAAAAACTAAACAAGGAAAAAAAAAAAAGGTATCTCAGGGACCAGTCAGGTCTTTAGGAGCTACCAAATATCTCAAGAAAGAGGGCTGTGTCCATAACTCTACACATCAGCACTGCTATTTCCTAGAAAAGTCTGAAATCATAAAGTATCGTAAACAGTAAAGGAGCTCAAATAAAGTATTCCCAGCTTTAAAAAGCCTAAGTCTTCATCCACATAAAAACCAAGTTAAAAAAAAAGAAAGAGCAGCTTTTTGACCAAAAAAGGTCAAACCTAATTAAAGGAAAAGCTTCAGTTTGAAGAGGGTGGGTTTTTTGTTCACTCCTTTTATTTAGTTTTGAAAAATATCTTGGATGTCAAACAGCATTCCACGATTAATCCGGGGAAGATAAGCAGAGATAGTAAGGCCCATAAAGCAGCAACTGATGCTCAGAGCATCATCCCAAACACGCGCAGGAATGCCAGC